TTGTGAGAAATTAGTCGACCTTTAAGGGATCTACCAGTCTGGCCAATGTAACATAGGTTACAATCCATATAGGGGATGTTGTAAAACACATTGATCTTTTCCAACGGGTTTAAAGGGGTTTTAGTTTTAGAGAATAGTTTACCAACTGATCTGACATTTTTTACTCCAATTTTAATTGGTGTAGATGTTAGGAGTTAGGAGTCATTGAAAGATTAGTTGGACGGGTGGATTTGTATGACGGAAAAATTTGATATGATTTTTTTTGTAATTTATGTTTAAATGAAACTTAGAGATCTGGAATAATTATGTTATTATTTTGAATGGAAAATAAGGCTATTTTAAATGATGAATATTGGTATTATTTATTATATAGACTTTCCAAACCCTCTTGTGCCCTTGCACAACACGCCATTTCTTCCAAACATCACATTGACTTCTCAAATACTAAAATACTGGCGAAACAAAATAACCATCAAAAACGCTCCTTTATTGAAATGTGTGAGATCCTAAAAAACCCATCTGCAATAAACAAAAGAAATGACATCGACAATTTGAGCCAGGTTTGCCACTCTCTCATCTTAGGAAATAAATAATACCAATATTCATCATTTAAAATAGCCTTATTTTCCATTAAAAATAATAACATAATCATCCCAGATCTGTAAGTTTCATTAAAACATAAATTACAAAAAAAATCACATATCAAATTTTTCCGTCATACAAATCCACCCGTCCAACTAATCTGTCAATGACCCCCGTAGAAGTTCATAATTGTCTCAAACCTTTCTAATTTGTTGAACATATGGCCCTTAAAAATTTTCGGTATCGCGCCACGTCGTTTTGCATAGATTGTAATAAATCAGTGTTTTGTTTGTCTTCATTGGAGACCCATCTCTAAATGAAGCCAAATGTACGTTTAAAATTTTTGTAAATCTTCGTTTCTGCGAATATTATTGTTTGCAAAGTTTTTATGTTCTTTGTTTCTGTTTAATTTTTTTTTAAGTTAGTTCTAAATTTATGAGTAAACTTAAGTACATATACAATAACATCTTTAATACTACATATTGAGTTGTAAGTAATAAATTATTAGATCTGTATTTCTTATAAACTCTATGTCATCTTTGTATTTTAGAGAACTGATGAAGCTTTAGAAGTATAAAGCGAAACGTCTTCTATAAACTTATGAAACAGTTGACTTCTGTTTTTTATTTTGCCAACCTGAATGACCGAATAAACCTCTGAATTCACTAGTTGAATACTTTAAATATAAATTGACGTCGTAGTTTTTACTATATATATATATATATATATATATATATATATATATATATATATATATATAAATATATATATATATATATATATATATATATATATATATATATATATATATATATATATATATATATATAACGGATTCTAACCCGAAAACGAAAGTCTAATTGCCGGCATTTTTAATGCAGTCGAATGTGTGGATTTATTAGTTCTGAGTTGATCTAACTTTTGGGGGAAAATGAGACAAGCAGGCGCAATACACAAGAAACGCAAAGCTACAACACAGAGGACACTGAAGTAAATAGAATTGTTAAGTGGAAATGTCTACAAAACCAATATGTAGTGAAGAAAGGTTGGAATCTAGAATTTATAATGGCGATTAGTCAAGGAGGGAAAATATGAATTGTCAAATAAGTGAAGGTTTATGTAAATTAGGTATGAATCAGTATGTGATGTAAAAGGTTGAAAGTAAGAGTAAGTACTAGTGGGAAATAAAGAGAAGGTTGATAGGTAGCTGGGATGTGATAATAAATGATCAAAGGAAACAGCAATGAAACTGTCTGGATGACAAAAAGAACGTCGAAAAATTCCTCATTTGATATTGGAAAGAAGAGAACGGTACACTAAACTGAGGTTGTCGATGTCAGCAAGTTAATTCATGGTGGTATAATTGAGGAAAATGTGGCACATTTCAAGGAAGCTTCTCTTGAAATGGTTGCTTTCTGTGCAAAGAATTTTGACATGTTCATAATCTGGTCGGTGGTCAGACGTAAGAATGTGTTGTGCTAAGGCACAGGAACGTTTATGGCATCTAATATCACTATTGTGAGAAATTAGTCGACCTTTAAGGGATCTACCAGTCTGGCCAATGTAACATAGGTTACAATCCATATAGGGGATGTTGTAAAACACATTGATCTTTTCCAACGGGTTTAAAGGGGTTTTAGTTTTAGAGAATAGTTTACCAACTGATCTGACATTTTTTACTCCAATTTTAATTGGTGTAGATGTTAGGAGTTAGGAGTCATTGAAAGATTAGTTGGACGGGTGGATTTGTATGACGGAAAAATTTGATATGATTTTTTTTGTAATTTATGTTTAAATGAAACTTAGAGATCTGGAATAATTATGTTATTATTTTGAATGGAAAATAAGGCTATTTTAAATGATGAATATTGGTATTATTTATTATATAGACTTTCCAAACCCTCTTGTGCCCTTGCACAACACGCCATTTCTTCCAAACATCACATTGACTTCTCAAATACTAAAATACTGGCGAAACAAAATAACCATCAAAAACGCTCCTTTATTGAAATGTGTGAGATCCTAAAAAACCCATCTGCAATAAACAAAAGAAATGACATCGACAATTTGAGCCAGGTTTGCCACTCTCTCATCTTAGGAAATAAATAATACCAATATTCATCATTTAAAATAGCCTTATTTTCCATTAAAAATAATAACATAATCATCCCAGATCTGTAAGTTTCATTAAAACATAAATTACAAAAAAAATCACATATCAAATTTTTCCGTCATACAAATCCACCCGTCCAACTAATCTGTCAATGACCCCCGTAGAAGTTCATAATTGTCTCAAACCTTTCTAATTTGTTGAACATATGGCCCTTAAAAATTTTCGGTATCGCGCCACGTCGTTTTGCATAGATTGTAATAAATCAGTGTTTTGTTTGTCTTCATTGGAGACCCATCTCTAAATGAAGCCAAATGTACGTTTAAAATTTTTGTAAATCTTCGTTTCTGCGAATATTATTGTTTGCAAAGTTTTTATGTTCTTTGTTTCTGTTTAATTTTTTTTTAAGTTAGTTCTAAATTTATGAGTAAACTTAAGTACATATACAATAACATCTTTAATACTACATATTGAGTTGTAAGTAATAAATTATTAGATCTGTATTTCTTATAAACTCTATGTCATCTTTGTATTTTAGAGAACTGATGAAGCTTTAGAAGTATAAAGCGAAACGTCTTCTATAAACTTATGAAACAGTTGACTTCTGTTTTTTATTTTGCCAACCTGAATGACCGAATAAACCTCTGAATTCACTAGTTGAATACTTTAAATATAAATTGACGTCGTAGTTTTTACTATATATATATATATATATATATATATATATATATATATATATATATATATATATATATAAATATATATATATATATATATATATATATATATATATATATATATATATATATATATATATGTGTGTGTGTGTGTGTGTGTGTACTGACTTGTAAAACGTGATCTTTTTCTAATTTCATCTTTTATGTATTGATCACATTCATAAACATTATCTCCAAGCTAATGTAAAACGTTTTAGTGCTGTGTTTGCGGAAATCCCTTTTAATCCCATAATAGCTTCTACTGTTTTGTCAATATTGAAATTGTCGAGAATCGTTTTTAAGGCAATATCTCAAGAACTGTCTTCCCTCCTCAAGATCTCTTAATTGGTTCCGCAAAATAGAAATCTGATATTGATATTTGAGGACTTTTGTGTAATTAGTGAATTTCACAAAATATATACAAACAATTTTGAAATAAAAGAAAATTTAACGAAAATGTTAAAATGTTTTAAGTATGTAATTAATTTTGAGTTGGTATTTATACCAACTCAAAAATATTTATACTCCAGTCCAATTAGCAGCAGGTAGTACCTACGAGTAGTAAACAAAACCCTGTGCTGTTGTAATAAATATACAGCATTCACGATAATCAAATATTACAGATAAAACAATTTGAAATATATTATTTAAGTTCCACTCTAAGAAAACGATACGTTTTTATGACTTTTACATCTATATTGGCCATTGGAACGAAGTATAGTATTTAATTTAAACTTTTTAAATTAAAACATTTTAAATTACTTCATTTTATATTAACTACATACTAGATTTAATGGATTAAACCACAAATTTGATTAAAAATACGTTCTATTGAATGTTTCTATTTTCACCTTGAAAATTGTTTTCGAAATACAAATTGTTGTGTATTGTTACGTGGAAATAGAAAACATCTTCAGTTTTGTTTTGTATTCCCAAGTAAGAAAACAATTCATTAAATTTATATTTTCAGATGTATTTTCTAGAAAAAGTGGACATCAAAACATCAATTACTATTAAACTGGGAATAAGCCACAATTAAAGATAAAAATACGTTTATTGACGTTTCAATTTCCACTTCGGAAATCGTTCTCAAAATACAAACAGTAAATTAAACAAATTTTGTTTTTTGTTTTTTTAAATAACAAAAAACAAAATTTGTTTAAATTACTGTTTGTATTTTGAGAACGATTTCCGAAGTGGAAATTGAAACGTCAATAAATGTATTTTTATCTTTAATTGTGGCTTATTCCCACTTTAATAGTAATTAATTTACAATGCCACAAGAAAATAGCTTCAGAACAAAATCAAAACATCAGATATATCGAATTTTTATTAAAATTGTTGTGTACTACCTACCATTAAATTTAGTAGTTAATATAAAAATCCAACAAAAAAGATTCAAAACATTTTAATTTTCTCACCAATATTAACCTTATTATATTATAGAAGTACATTTTAAGGTATTTTTTACAAACTACAAGACTTGCAAACAATAGCAAAATTAATTCAACTGGATAGACAAGTTAGCTTTTTCCCAGAGCCAAACATATAATTAAAGAAGTATTCACATTTAATTTTTAAATTAATCTTACCTAAGCTTCTTAATCTCGTTTCTCATTTCCACTATCTCCGGTATATCAAAAATCGCTCTTTTTATGTGTTCCTCTATTATCTTAACATCCTCTTTCCGTTTATCCAAGAGAGCGGTCACTTGTTTACTCAACACGCGAAAATCTTCCTCTAAATCACATTCAGCGCACTGAAAACATAAGGTAACCACAACTAAAGTCAATACACACGACTTCATGATTCTGTCGGTATTATTTCACTTTTACAAACAATCCAATCAATCACTCTTCGTCTTCCAACACGTGCTTGCCTATCAAAAATGAGCAGGTCTGCAGTGAACGATCGTTTCGAACGGCTCCAACTCCGCGAAGTACTTTGTGTGTGGTACGACGTAAGGTAATGTGAAGACTCGTAGGGTGGTATGTACTTTTATAGAACTTGGGTGATATGTGGGCATGCGTCGCTTAAGCAGGTGTGCAATTGTAGTCCTCTTTCTGCATGGACAGCGATGCATTCAGGGGGATTTTATGTTACGCAAGTTGATTAAAAGGCTTTTGTTTAATTGTAGTGGCCGCAAAACTTCGGTTCCTTTGTATCTATACAGGATGTATGTAGGTTATATCTACACCTGATCAAAAATAAAAGTTGTGAGGGAATGAGGCGATTTATTTTCAGTTAAAAGTTCAGTAAGTTCTTTTTTTAAATAATGTTTTCCTATTATGTAAAATATGCGCTTTCAGTGTCGGCATGTATTTCCTGTATTTAAAATTCCTTATTGTATGGTCTATTAACTGTTTAATAAAGATATGTTAAAGGTTTATTAACTGTTTACGTACATTATAATCTCAATAAATTATTTCATTCAATTTGACACGTTCTGCTAATCTTTATGCTATCCTCAAAAATGATAAATTTGTCATCTCGCCAGACTACCGTGTGATTTCTGAAAAAATGCACAAAAAAACCATATTTATACAATAAAACAATATATATCATGTTAATTGCCCCCAATAAAAAACTAACCCCCAAGCTACCTCGCGATTTTTTAAATTTACATCAATATTTAGTTGTTTAAATATACTTCAGAAAAATTGCAGTATTACTTTACGAATAAAACATTTTTTTATTGTTTTTTTTTGTTGCGGTACAACTTAAGTGCCACAGAACCTAAATAACTATTTTTTTCACTGTGGTCATGCGGCCGGCGACAAGTGCCCCACTTTTCTGTTGCAACCTGTTTATTCGTGGAGTTGCTTGTTACATTTTGAAGTGATTAAAGTACTATAGAGAGTTAAAAAATGAGCGGTGAGAAAGACTAACATCGAATTCAAATGCTTTTAGACGAGATTTTGTCCAATGATGAATACGACGAACGCAATTTATGGGACGAAAACTCCGAAGATGATTATTTACCCAGTGAAAAAGCTAGCAATGTACTTCCGACATACTTAGTAGTCCTGAAACAGAAAATAATATAAACGACTTAAGTAATAAATTAACAAATGCCTTACTGGAATGTCTAAACAAATTCTGTCCTAGACCTCAAAAAGAAGAGAAGATCAGCCAAAATACCAGGCAACTAATGCAGATAAGAAGAGAAATGAGAAGCGAGACGGAAACTAAAGCCGACGAACTACAAAAATTAAATCAAGAAATATGTGCAGCTGTTACCAAGAAACCCTTAAAATAGTGGAAGAGTTGAATCAAATAGCAGAGAAGATCAAGTACCAGAAATATTAACAAGGAAAAAGGACATTGTTGATTGTCAACCAAGGATCAGAATTACAGAATTACAGAATTACAGACAAAAATTAGGGAGGCCTGTATTCAGCAGTGGATGTAAAGGGTTGGGTGATAAAGAAACTAGTGAAAGCAATACCTCGTCATGCAAATTTACTTTATAAAAATATAAAAAAGTACAACAGTAAGGATGATGGTATACAAGATTTGGATTGTATAACATTTATAGATTATATTGATAATGTCAATGACGAAATTCCTCATTATTAAGTTCGATCACATGCAGAAGGATCTCCACAAACAATTTAAGTTTTAAATTTGATCAATAATACGATTGTCGCGGTTGTGTAGCAGTTCAGAATTCTTTAAGAAGATAATGATAGTAAATATGGTAACAAAAGAACAAGTGAGTACGACAATATTAATTGGTATATACCGAATGGCAAGTACATAAAATGATTTTCATTTGTTGAACTAACACCCGGCATAAAGCCCCATATATAGCACGGTTATCTTGACAAGACGATATATGAAGTCTTCAAACTTTTATTTACAGATGAGATTAATACTAGGATAGTAGAAGAAACCAATAGATATTCAGTGCAGAAGAAAACCCAAACAAAATATAAAAGTTACAGTGGCCGCACGATACAAAAACTGAAAATATTGGAAATATTTTAGTCCTTGTCATGTAAATGGAATTATGTTTCTACCTAAAAATCACAAACTATCCAAAAGTCCTTTGTACAAAAATAACTTAATGCACCACATGAGTAGAAATCGTTTTGAATTAATACTACGAGTCATTCACTTCAACAATAATGAATCTATAAATCTGGATCCCAATGATAGAATAAGAAAATTAATGCCGGGTCCAGACCAAGCAGACAAAACAAAAACATTCATGTTTCGCGACAAAGTGGCGACAAATCGAAAACATTTGATGAGACATTTCTGAAACAATTTGTTTTGTTTGCAGATTTGAAAACTTTTTCAGGTCCCGTCTCAGGTCGGTAAAGATCAAAAGGTCTGTGTTTTGTCTGTGTTTTTGACGACAAGTTGTCGACGCAGTGTGGACGCGTGTGCGTACCAAAACGAGTTAAGCAGTAGGAGAAATAGAATGTACAATTTTTATCAAAATCAAGTGTATTTTTCTAAACATGTCGGGGGACAAAAAGTGGAATACACAAAATACATGCAAGTTAATAGAAATTTACAGGGAGCATCGGATATTATGGGACCCTAAAAATAAAGATTATAAAAATCGCTACAAGAAAGCCGATGCATTAAAGGAAATTTCTTTATCGCTAAATGTGCCACTAAATGATGTTGAAAAAAAATAAAGAATGTTAACAACCAGTATGCTAGAGAAAGACGAAACTACAGGAAACTTAAAAAAGCTGGGGCTGGAAAACTTTTCAGTTCAAAATGGTTTGGTTATGGTAGGAATCACCTGTTGCTAATAATCTTAAAATTATTGCTAAACGTTCTGTTACACTTATAGCATTTCTAAAGTTAGTATGTCTTTTTGCAACTGCAGGACCAACAAGGCATATTAGATTCTCAAAATCTTCGGTGGACATTCTTAAAAAAATTTTGAAGCTTGATCGAATTTCACCACTTAGTCCAATATCATCTGCGCGCAGCTGAACTAACAATTTGTCTATCGAACAACTGTCTCGCATTTTTAGGCTTGGTCTAATCCAAAAACGTTTGGGTTTTCGTTTAGCAACCTGGGATGATGATGAGAGCAAAAAAAAAATCAACTTGCGGCTAGCAATAAATCTTCAGTTTCATTTTTTTCTTTATTAAAACGCCACATGGTTAACCAACACTAATCACAACAACAACGTCACCAACTGAATTTTGTTTTTATATTTTGTTGTTCTGGTGTGGACAGTTTAGAAACTTACTCAGTTGGAACAGTAAAGCAAAATCGAAAACTAAATTGTAAATAAGTTTAAAAAGCAAAATTATAGGAAGGTAAAATATGTGCCAGAGAAAGTGATACGGGAGTGTTGATGCTAAAGTGGAAAGACACACTTAGCACCAAACATACTGACAATATAAAAACTGTTACAAATAAATGGGGAAATAATGCAGAAACACCTGAATTCATAGTCGAGGACAATAACCCAAAAGCGTTCAGGGACCTTTCAGATCAGATGAAATCTTGCAATAATTCACTCAGAAATGGGATTAAGTTGGGCAGAAAACTGGTTTTTGAGCTAATTTTAGGAACCACAGTTGTGAATAACTACATTCTACACAAAGAAGTAACAACTGCCAAGATGGCAATTACTGAGTTCAGAGAACAGATTCTCTAAACTATATTATTTCCATCTACAGTGCCACAGGAGGTAGAGCCTCAAGAAAATCATAAACTTAAAAATGTGGAAACAAGAAATCATTGTAGATTACCACCGAATATTACAAGAATACGATAGAATAATTACCATTTTAACGGAAATCAGGCTCAATTAAAGTTTAATATAAGTTTACCGACGTTGTAATTTCCACTTCGGAAATCGTTCCCAAAATACAAACATTAATGATAGCTTGAGAACAATAATATGATAGAAAAACTGCCTTCAGTAAAACTCCTCGGTCTCCCTGGCAATGTACAGCGTGCAATAAACATTGCTGCAGATACAATTTTGTAGTGAAAAATTGAAATTCCGGCGATGTAAGCGACTTCAGTCTGCCAGGCCATGCATTTATTGTATGGCCCATACATTACTCCCATATAAATGTATAGCAACCGCGGTATAATAGAAATGCCACGCACAAAATACATTGGAACAACATGCGGCATAACTGCTGCACCGCAGAACTTAATCTAATTTTTTTGTGCGACCCATCGTGAATTCTGCATGGCGATTAACGTGTTATGGAATATACAAATGTAACATATGCGAATAGTTTAGGTGTTCTATCTATACGTATGTTTGCGTCCAATAAGAATTGAATATTATGGCTACTTGACACGATCCGAGTGTACTTGTAGTAGTAGTAGAAGTACACTTGTATCAACAGGTTCTATCCAAGTTAAGTAGGACAATGGCCAACTTATTTGGATTCAAGTATTGTGGTATTGTAAAATCAAATGGCGTCGGTGTCGAAAAATCGAAAACTGAAAGAGAGTGTTAGATTCATGTAGTTATACGAAACTGAGGAACCATGATGGAATCTACGGATAAAGGAATATCAAAATAAGGATGCTAGAAGTGCGACATTTTTTTTTATTCCTTTTTTCTGAATTTCAAGCTTATGTATCAACATATCAGCAACTACTAGAACACCTTCGACAATCACTTCCGCCATCTTTACAATGGTTATTTGACATCCAAGTCATTTAACCGTGGCAACCAATTTAGTACAAGTACACTTGTACATGTCCACTTGGTCCAACTTGGAATCCAAGCATTGTTGGATCTTGTCAACCCGTCTTTGCTATTGATGTCTTTATTTATCTTTCTCCAAAATCGTTTCTTTTCT